CTTCCTTCCTTCCTTCCTTCCTTCCTTCCTTCCTTCCTTCCTTCCTTCCACAGGGTCTTGCTATGTTGCTCAGACTGGCCTCGAACTTATGGGCTCAGTGGATCCTCTTTTTCTCAGCATCCCGACAATATTTAATTTGGCATATTTTATCTCTACATCACAAGCTTTGGGGTTGGTTTTCTATTCTAAAATAAATGTTCCTTTTACTTACACACTCTTTCAATATAAGTTCTTGCCCTGTCAAATGCTTTGATAATTTTTATATTTGTCATGCTTTATCAAATTACTCTTTAGAAAGGTTATGCTAATACTATTTAGGCTCCTAGCAATGGATAAATATGTCTGAAGTGGTAATGGACTTCATATTTGTTTTTTTCCTAATGTAAATGAAGTATCATGTAGTTGTTTTAAATCTAATTTTAAAATGATAATGTGTAAGAACAGTTTCCTCTTTTTTAAGATTGAACTTTTCTCTCTCCTTCTGTGTGAATTAGCAAACTATGGTCTGTGGGCCAGATCTCGCCAACTGATTGTTTCTAGAAATAAAGTTGTACTGGAACACAACTATGCTCATTTGTTGGCATATTGTCTAAGGCTGTTTCTTTGCACTACAGTGGCAGTGTTGAGCATTTGGAACAGAACAAAGACTAAAATATTTGCTATAGGGTCCTTAACAGAAAAACATTTGCCACTCTTATCTCATCTCTTATCTCTTATTCACTCCTGCTTTACCACATTTTATTCTCTAGCAATGTCAAAGTATTTGTTCCCCTTGTATACTTCATGCTTCTGCTCTTCTCTTTCTGAGATTTCCAGTCCCCACTCTGCCAGGTAGATTCATCCTTCCTTGAGAGTGCTCATGCTAAAGAGTCCCCTTTAATTCAGATTTACCATGTTACTTTTGTTAGAAGATAGTGACAGTAGGTGTGTGAGAAATTAAAAACAAACAAACAAATAAACCCAGTACCTGGGAAAGCACTTTGTAAAACTATAAGGCACTATATAAAAGTAATACCTTCTTCTAAAAATAATTCTAATAATACTTATTATATTTGGTAGCATCAGGGTCCACTTTTCTTTGTACTTTACTTTGAACTACTTATAAAGCACACTGATTGATTCTTATGGAGTAAAGGTCCTGCCCTTTCTTATAATACTGCATTAAATACTATGGATACAGTGGAGTTCCTGGACTAATTATTTTGGCAGTTTTGGAAGTCAATTTGGATCAATTATATGAGTCTCATCAATTATTGAATAATCACTAAGGTGACTCAGAACATTAATCAACCAACCAAACAAGCAAATCCAACCTTCTGCATGATCCTTCTGTTTGACTCAGAGAACAAAGGTTGGAATACTAGAGGAAACAATATATGAAATCCTGAGAAAATATGCTAAACCAAGGAGCCATACTCTTCTTTGGTCGAAGGTAATTATGCAAAAATCAGACAAGATAATACCTTGGAAAAGAGTTTCATTTATTCAGAGGGAAAAAAGATATCCTAGGCTAAAACATATAATTCTGAAATGGTATGTGAAATTTTTGGGAGTTCAGCTCGCCCTTCCAAAGTGTCTTCTGTATCACTGATCTGTACTATCACCTATCCTAACCGTAGCTTCTTAGTAATGGGTCTGAATTCCTTTCTCTAGTGGCTCCCCTGTTTCTGTGGAAATCAAAATTATCTCAGAAAATATTATAAAAAAAACTGAAATACAATGTTGTATTATCTTCATACACAATTTGTTACTTTAAACAGTGATCTCTGGGGAGACCCAGGAAGGAGCATAGAGAATTCCATTTGCCTTGTGAAAAGTTAAATGTGTGTGTCGAAAGCAAAAGGCTCAGGTTCATATTACACAGAGTGAGGAAGGGTCGGTTATGAATGTTCATCGTCCCAGACACAAAAGCTTTTAGTTCTAACTGCATTTCTGTAGAGGAGGGCCCTTCTCCTCCACCACTTCCATTAAGGAGCAACTACTTATTTTAGTGGTGCTTTTCTCTCAGGAAGTGCAATATGTAGTAAGAGCAGAAAAATAAGCAAAGGAGGAAATTTGATATTGATTTTCTTTTTCTTCTGTGAAATTACATGAAAGCTCAATGGTGTGTAGCAGTTACTCAGTCAATAAGCCTCCATTTGAGCCCACCTTGAAGTCCAATGCTCTCTCTATCCTTTCAAACTTCTTCTAGTGTTGTATTTGTTTGTTTTTAATTGTCTTTGGTGCTGAAATAACCATGAACCACAGTGAGGATTTTGCTAAAGGAAAAATTGTGAAGTATTCCCAGAAGACAAAGGTTGGCCCCTCTTTTTTGGTTAAAAAATCAACAATAACAAAAAAATCAAATCTGGTTGTATACAAAGTATATTCACACCAATTTGTGTCTACATACATGTACTTTGGATAATAATGATCATCATGTTTCACCATCATTTCTAACCCCATGCCCCTTCCCTTCCCCTCCAACCCCTCTGCCCTATCTAGAGTTCGTCTATTCCTCCCATGCTCCCCCTCCCTATCCCACTATGAGTCAGCCTCCTTATATCAGAGAAAGCATTTGGCATTTAGAGATATGGAAAATTGTGCTCTACATTTGTAACAAGAATTGTAATGTATTCTGCTGTCATATATAAATAAAAATAAATAAAATCAAAAAAGTCTAATCTGAAAATCCAAGGAAAAAAATTAATGAGCAAAATGATTAGTAGGACTCCTTGTTGGAAAGCAGTTTTTCAATATTAGGGTATTGCTAGGTCTCCCTGAGTTTGAACTAACTGCAGATGAGACTAAGCACGGCATTTTCTCCTGTGGGGCCACGAGAAGGTCATTTATGGCAGCCCCACTGTTTATGTCTGCATACATGCTGGTCATAATAATGCTAGCGTTTCTTGAATGCTTACAGTGTGTAGGTGATAGGCTAAATATTTCTATGGTTTCTGTTCTATAGGGAAGCAATAAGTCGCCTGTGTGAAACTGTCCCTGGGACAAATGGAGCTGCTAAAAAGCGAAAGGTAAATATTGATGTGTTTTGTTTTACATTTCTCTAATTACAGCAAAGAAGGTATCAAAATTTTTATTAGTTCATTCCACCACGTGACCCAAGATCCAGTCTGGACTTATTCATTGGCACGATATAGAAGCTGCACCCAAAGTTGCTCTTGTCCCTCAGAATTTTCGAGCTCAGGGGACAGTGTCTGAAATGGTGACACCTTGCTTGGCAGAGTGGAGGAAGTGCCTGGGTTTCAGGGCAGAAACCCTGGTTCCCTGGCGGGTCTGCACTTGCCTTAGAGTATGATGTCTCTTCTCTCTGAGACACTGTGAAGTTAGGGAATTCAAACACATGACAGTTTGGGGCCTTCCAATTTCAATATTTTATACACATATGCATTTAAAAATGTTTTAGAATTTTATACTTCCTGGTAGAGATGAGTTAATAACACAGGGGTAGAAGGAGATTACCATGCTGAAAGAAAGCAAAAATTTTGATGTTAGACAGACCTGATTGAAATCCTGCCTGTACCACCCAAGAACTATATGATCTTGGACAAGTCATTTTCCTCTTGGATCCTTGGTTTTCTTATCTGTAAAATAAAAGAAAATAGTACTTTATAAGATCATGGAAACATTAAGTGAAGTGATACCTACAGAGTGTCCACCAGTGTCTGGCGTATATGAGACTTTCTATTTCTATATATTTTCTATTTCTATGTCTTTCTATTTCTAGTATAATTGCTATTAAGCTGTTAATCCTGAAATGCATAATTGCCTTGAAAAGTCTTAATTTAACAAAGAGGTGAAGTCTCTTTTTCAGATATGTATATGAATCATAGAATCGTGAACTGTTTAAGAGGAAAGGGATGTTTATTGATCTCATTTTGCCAATTGCTAAATTGAGTCTGAGAGAAGAGATGATCATTGGGACAATTATGGTCAGAGCCACCTCTCAAAGCCGGGTCTCCTGATTCCTAGCTGAGTGATTTATTTCTATATCACCCTGCCTTATTTTTTTGTTATCACTCTTCATCATTTTACATAGGGCTGAACCCAGAATCCCAGAGTGGCTCAAAGGAGCCATACATCATGGTAACCCCTGACAAATGGGCCCTGGAATTCTATAAAGGACTCCCTATTATTGGCTTCTTTGACAGAACCCCTTGCTCCAAAGTAGCCACTAGACTCTTCCTTCTCCTCATCTCTGCTTCAACTGGATGATCTCAATAAACAAGCTCATTCGTTTAAGATTTTCTTGTTTCAGGAGTACCCCCAAATAAAACAAACCTGGTTATTATCTCTCCAGAAAGTATACCTATAAAGAAAAATAAATTCTTGAGTTAATTCCCCTTGATAACTAGCATTCTTAATATATACAAGGGAGTCTTCCTGGAACTTCATTTTTGAAATGCTCTTCATTTCCAAAATTTTTACTGTGATAAAATACATATAACAAAATCTTTTCTCTTAACCATTTTAAGTGTATGGCTTAGTGGTATTGTTTTTCTAGTCTCCAGTTCTTTTCATCTCTGCTCTGATATTTATTACTTTCTTCCTTCTGCTGGCTCGGGGTTTAGTTTGTTCTTTTTTTCTAGTTCTTAAATTGTAAAGTTAGGTTTTTTTTTTATTTGATATCTTTCTCCTCCTCCCCCTGCTCCTCCAATGTAAGGGTTTATAGCTTTAATTTTCCTCTTGGCACTGTTTTTGCTGTGTCCCTAGTTTTGCACGTATACTATGTTTTTACACTTTGTGAATCATCACAGAAAACATAAACAGGTGCTATTTCTTATCCTCATTTTACAGATAAGGAACCTGGGACTCAGAGAGGTTAAGTAACTTGCCCAATTAACCAGAGTTGCCAGATTAAGCCCAGGCAGACTGGATTCAGGATCCATGTTCTTAACCACTGTGTTCTCTGCCTCTCTGGCCTTGCATATCTCCCCAGGTTAGGGAGTCAAAAACTATTAAGGTCAACTAAATATGCTTAGGATCTGTTTTATTCCTTTAGGTCTGTGGAGTATTTCACCATAGGAAATTTGGAGGGCTGAGGTACTTATCCATTTGTTTGATATGATGAGTTTCTAAGTCTAAAAGTCAATGAATAACAAAAAAGTGTGTGTGTGTGGGGGGTCCTGAGCGACTGTGATATGGAGTCAGTCTGGTGTCAATACCAATAAGTTAATTAGTTTATAGGTCTCCCTATCTTAGAAGTTTTCTCATTTATAAAATATGATAAGAATCACCCCTCCCAGCCAGCCTCCACTTTCTTTGTGAAAGTTGGTTAGTATCCTAGTCTCACTTTCTCAGCCTCTCCTTTTTGTTCCCTTCTCTTCCTACTCCCGCAGCTGCCTGTCCCTAGGCCAGGACCTGCACAATTTTCCCCCTCTTATCAAAGCAGAAACACTGTAGCAAAATTGCCAGAATTAATTTAAAACATGGTAGTCACAATCACTATAATCTGTTACCATTTCCCTGGGTACTGTGCCTTTCCATGAACTTTATTACTGAATTTGATTCTTCCAAGAATCCCATGGCTAGAGGTAGAAGGACAGAAGCAATGTTATTATTCCTGTTTTCTAAGTATAGAAACAAAGGTTCAGGGAGTTTCCTAAGGTCCCTCAGCTAGTTAGTAGCACCCTTAAGTTCCCTTAACTAGTTAATAGTTTCCTAAGGTCCCCTGGCTAGGTGAATCCAAGTTGCCCACCACCAGTCCTGTTTGTTTTCTATTCGGCTATATTTGCCTGAAACCTATGTGCTTTCTCTTCCATGGGTTATTGGAAAATTTCTAAATAATTTCTAGTAATAATAATAATTATTATTATTAAATTATTATAAATAATTTCTAGTAATGGAATGAAATAATTTGACTCCTATACTCCTTTTTTTTTTTTTTTTTTGTAATGCTAGGGGTGGAACCCAGGGCTTCATGTGCACTAGGCAAGTGCTATGCCACAGAGCTGTGTCCTCAGCTCTGTCTTCTATCCAATAAATACATTTGAGCATTTCTCTCAAGGTTAAGGTTATGGGAGGGCAAAATTAAGATAATATACATAAATGATTTTTGTAAATAACAAAGTACTTGTCGATTATGAGAGAGTACTATTATTATTTAATAAAAAAATTTTAACATCTAGCATGCAAAAGAAACTCAGAAGAAGCAAGGAAGTGGTCCACTCTCAAATATAATCACTTTGGGTAACAAAAACCCCAATATAATCACTTTGGATAACACAAAATCCCTGGATTTATGGCTTATCTTGCCAAGCACTATACAAAGAGCAAAGAAAGCAAACCAAGAGTCAACTTTATGATGGAAGGATACTTGTTTTTTGGGGTATCTTAGTTACACCGTCACCATATTTTAGAATGTACTTGGAATTGAAAATAAACATCAAATTTCAATGATGTATATTTAACAGTTTGGTGTGGTTTCATAAGGATTCAAATAAAAGTATATAAGAAAAACTATGAAGAAACCAAAGTATGTGTTAACTGATTGCTTCAAAGTATTGATCCAGCCTGGTGTGGTAGCACACACCTGTAATCCCAGTGGCTTGGGAGGTTAAAGCAGGAGGATCACGAGTTCAAAGCAAGTCTCAGCAACTCAACGAGACCCTGTCTCTAAATAAAATATGAAAAAGGGGCTGGAGATGTGGCTCAGTGGTCAAGTGCCCCTGATTTCAATCCTTGGTACCAAAAAAAAAAAAAAAAGTATTGATCCATATGTTGAGGCAATCACTCTTTTCTATCTTCAACTGGCCCACTTTCCAGCAGAGGATTTCAAAACTTAATTCAAGATTCCATCAGAGTATGTAAATCCTTCAAACTATCTTTGAGGATCTTGGAGTTGGAAGAACAATAGCAATAGCAATAATAGTGCTCATGTATGCAGCCAAGTACTATGCTAAATGCTCTCCATTTATTACCTATTTCAATCTACAACAGCTCTTATAAGGTGTAGCTTCTATTTTTTTTTCACTTTTTATACAAAAGGATATTGAGGCTTAAAAAGGGTATTTCTCCAAGGTCATACAGCATTTCTGGTCATAAATGGCACTTCTGCTTGAGAAAATTGGCCAACCCATCCCAAAGACATACCCTGTATTGGTACTTCTTTCTCTGCTTTATGACCACAGGGCCTAGTATAAGTTATAATGAAAAGTCATTTCATCTCATTTGATATGTGTAAAGTGAAATAGAGAGGAAAAATATGGGCTTTGACTCATTTTTAACATTTAAAAAACATTACCATTTATTCTATAACAAAATCCATAACTTACAATTTTGTTTTGTTATTTTTAAAGCCCCCAGTTAAATTCCTATCAACAGTTCTTGGCAAAAGTAACCTTCAGTTTTCGGGAATGAATATAAAACTGACCATCTCAACGTGCAGCCTCACACTGATGAATCTTGACAACCAACAGGTGAGACAATGAATATCATTTATAGTTTATATGTCATCTATTGTTTTGGAGAACTGGGGGTAGAGGAAAATAAAGTGTCCAACAGAGTATGCCTATCATTTAATGAGGCATAAAGGAAAAAAATCTGCCCAAGATTTATGTATATTTATATATGATAATAATTAGAATAATAGTATTACTAAGCCATCATTTAGGCATTTAACTGCCTACATACTTGCTATTCTCTAATCAGCTTTGTATAAAAAGCTAAGGTTCAAAGAACACAGTAAATACCATTTATTAACTAATATCCTTCATTTGGTCATTGATTATTCTCCACCAGCTCTCCCTAAAGGGAAAGCATTTCCATTATCAGAATTAATGAAGTATGTATTGGACTGGGGTGCAGATAACAGACCAAGGAGAGGGGTGATGTCAGGGTTAATGTTGTAGCTAACAGAAATTTAAGCAAAAGACATTTTCTTTCAACTCCTGTGGTTGAAAGCTTTCTACAATGTTATTGTGTGAACTTATTTTCTCTCTTGATGATTTATGATACTACAGTAGCCCGAGTTTTCATTATGAATCTCATTTCTCATAGAACAGCTTTGCTGAAGCAAATATAAAAGATATATCGGTATGGCTAATTATGTACCTTCACTAGGATATTCTTTTTGACTTGGTTTTAATTTTTAAGCTAAATTACTTGTAACAGGTTGTTTATATGTTTTGGTATTTGATTTTTCTCCGATATCTAGTATATAGTACACAGTTCAAGGTTCTTAATATTTAAGGTTTTACTCTATGGAGTGCTCAAGGATTTGTGGAAGGCTTAATGTGCACGGTAATGATAAAACACTAAGTTTAAGATTATGTGGGGGTGAAATGATGGCTTTTCCATTTATTAGCAAGTCATCCTTCCATTGTGAGCTTCAGTTTTCCTCACCAGTGAACTGCAGAGCACAGTACGTATCATAGAGAATATATATGTGTGTGTGTGTGTGTGCGTGTGTGTGTGTGTGTGTGTGTATATATATATATATTTATTTATTTAAGCAAAATGATGGAAAATTTCTAAGTAATTTCTAATTATAATATTATCATTATTAAATTATTTATATATAAATCCATATATACATATATAAAAATCCATATATATATATATTATATATATATACAATTCTGGAGTATATTTCTGGGTATTTAGATAGGACTTTGAGATGTGTATCCTGGTTTTTTTTCCAAATGTGTCTAAAATTAATTCATAACTTTGCCTTTACATAATTCTATCCTATTAATAATAAATTCTAATTCTATTCTATTCATAACTACCAGTCATAATTATGGTCAGATATTAATTCCCAAGTAAGGTGAAGAAGGAGGAAGGAAATTGAGAAATCTTTCTGAGATATCTGGGAGAGAGGTGAAGAGAACAGAAAATGAGGTTACAGGACTATCATAGGGTTTCTGAGAGGATGAATTTAACAATATCTCACAGGGCTAGAGGATTAAATGAGGTAATGAATGTAAACATTTAGTACAGTGCCAGTCACACGGTATCTAGTATTGTTATTTACTCATTCCTTCTCAGAGACTTTTTTCATATATATACTAAGTACTTACTGGGAAAAGCATAATACACAAAATCATAAATTTGTCAGTAATTTATAAGTACATGTTTTTGAGGGCTGTTTTATTTTCTAAACTAAAAAATGGAATAAAATGCATTGCTGATGCATTAATATAAAATATCTTAGAGGAAAATACTTGATATGAAATAATTCAAAATAGATTCCCATCTAGTTGGTTTTTGACTGATTGTCCAAGAGAGGTGATACCACTGGTATAATGATAGCATAACATTTTGTCCTGTACCAACCTGGAAGATGCAAAGCATCTGGGTGGAAGATGAAACATTCATTAAGTCATTCATATGCTTTGACCTCAAGAGTTCTGTGGCTATAAAATTTAGTTTTAGTTTTCACCCTTGTACATGATAACAATAGAGGCTCAATGCTTTTGGTCATGATATGAATTTAGAAGCTCTTGAATTACCTCAGAATTTTGTAAGGTAGGAAGAGCAGGAAAAGCTGGAAATATCATGGTGACAGCCTATGTGCAGAATTGAATGATTAGTTTTTAGAAATGTCCCTTTGAATAGTGCTTGAAAGGAATTGAATTTATGTAGAATTATTGTTCATGTGATGGGCATAGTTTATTTTCAGCCTCTACTTCTCCTTTACTATCTTATTCAATTCACAGCAGTTAGAGGTGGCATAACTACATGCCCATCATTTTTTTTTCAGTCCAAACAAAGGTAGGAAGAATAGGCATGGGTAACTTCTACTACCAGTAACTATAGCAAGGATGTATCTCTGAGAATAGCTCACATATTTTCTATACTGGTAATAATAGCATTAAGTGGGTTTGTGTTCAGCCTGCTGCTGGAGTGGGGACCAAAGTTAGTATCTCAATGATCTCAGACTCAGGGGCTGATATTGAGTTATTCTGCAATGCTGGGAGATGACTAGTGGAAGAAGGTAGAGATGTACCAACATGAATGCTTCATTCAAGAAACTTTATGTATCTCATGGGAAGGGCAACTAAATGTTCAAGGAATGAAGGCAGTAAAGAAGAGAGACCTTATAAATGTAGCATGAGAAAATGATTTATTAATTAAATCTTTAAAGAAAGCTCTCCCTGGAAGTTCTAAGATAAATAAATAAAAAGAAATGCTAATGCCTCCCCACTCTTCTCGGCTTCTAAAGATACACTATGGAATAAAAACATAAAGAGGTTCAAGTTTATGGATATATGAATAGATGATAACACCTATTGTTTAGGTGGCTCCATTTGTCTTCAGTCACTGAGATCATTAAGAATATAAACATTTACTCCTAGAAGATGTTTCATAGTGCTTCAGAAGCAGAAAATAAAAAAGCATTAAACATGTAATGTTTAAACAACTACCATATTTGGGGGTGAGAAAATACATTTTGGAAAGGCAAGTTATATGAGTTTTATATATTCTTTGTTTTAAAATTTAAGCAACAGACTTTATTTTTTGTTTTTGTTTTTGGTACCAGGGGATTGCACCTTTGTACTCAACCACTGAGCCACATCCCCAGCCCTTTTATGAAAAAAATTTAGAGACAGGGTCTTCCTGAGTTGGTAAGTGCCTCACTATGTTGCTGAGGCTGGCTTTGAACTCTCAATCCTCCTGCCTTAGCCTCTTGAGCCGCTGGGATTACAGGCATGAGCCAACCACATCTGACAAGCAACAGTCTTTCTTGACATCCTTTAATACAGTAGTTCTGCCTTATCTGTGGGGGATAGTTCCAGGCTCCCAGTGCATGCCTGAAACCCCAGTGCAAACCAAACCCTATATATACTGTTTTGTTCTTAAGGTAGATCATAGCAACCTCAGCATAGGATTTTTTCTTTCTTTATTAAGTCAAAGACTTTCAACTTTTCACTTAAAGGAAGCACTATATGAATTCTCTTTGGCATATCCAAATTGCCTATCTTACTACTATTTTGTTTGTGGCATTAAGTAAAAGAAGGATTATTTGCACCAAGATACCATGATAGTGGATTCACTGATAATGAAAGGGCTAAGTTACTGTGGGGCAGGTAATGTATACAATGTGGATATGCTGGGTAAAGGATGATTGAGGTCCTGTATGGGATCAAGCAGGATAGCATGAAATTTCATCATGCTAATCAGAATGGAGTGCAGTAAAATTTTGAATCACTTATTTCTAGAATTTTCCAGAAATTTTCAGACTGCAGTTGACCACAAGTAACGTAACTGAGGAAAGTGAAACTATAAATAAAGGAGACTATAATATTTTAGGACCTTAAACAAAAATGTGAGTCTCAGTAGTTCCCACTCCCACCAATTCTTGATTCATTTCTAAAACTGTCACTAACTCTAATAGCTATTAAATTGAGAAGAGTAATAAACAGATTTTTTTTAAAAAAGGTCATTGAGAAATAGATATATCATTTAGTCTCTACAAGAAGAAACAACTTCAAATACCTAGAGGGCAGCCAGGCAATGCAAACTGTCCGGGCACAAGAAAAAAAATAGGGTGCAAGCATAATGATAAATGGTGAGTGCTATTTGACACTATAATGGGGGAGATGACACTGGAGAACCTGGCAAACAGAACACCTTTCCTAAAGGTGAATCAGATGTGTTTTGCAACAGAGGACTATTTAAGGGCTGGCATATATCCCACTTTGGGGAAAATAAAAATTGAAAACCTGTATTTTTAGCTGCTATCTCCGAATTGAGATATTGGTCTTTCATTAAATTATTAGCATGAGCCAAACAAAATAGACCTGGGTGAGCCAATGTGGGACATCTGATGTAAGGAAACATAATACATATGGGGACACACATACACACAATCTGGAAAATAGACAACCCCAATCACACTCTGTATGTTTAAATTCCTTTAAATTCTCTAATCTCACCCCAAATCCCCTCCCCCTTGCAAAAATCAGAATACCCCAGAACTCCCTTCTTGTTTCCACTAAATGAAGATATATATATATATGTGTGTGTGTGTGTGTGTGTGTGTGTGTATAATATATATACACATATATATACATATATATATGTTGTATGTGTATTTTATACATACATATAGATGTATTTAATCCTCACAATTTGTAAGGCACATCCAATTACTATTTTCAGTTTAGGACCCAACCAGAGAGATGAATTTACTGTTACTGAAGTAATTTAGTGGAGCCCAAATTTGAATCAGGCAGTCTGGTTCCATTTTGTGACCTTACCATTAAATACATTTTATATATATATATATATATAAATTAGAATATGTTAACTTTTTATTTTCAGTAAATATGAACAACTATTTCAGTGGTCTGAGCTTGTGTGTTACTGAGGAATGAAGCCAGGGGTACCTTACCAGAGCAACATCCCCAGTTGTATTTTTCATTTTGGGACAGTACTAGTTGCTGAGGCTAGTTTCTAATTTGGAATCCTTGGT